AAAAAAAAAAAAAGAAAAGTAAAAAATGTATTACAGGGGCAGCTGGCTGGCTCTGTAGGTAAAGCATGCAACACAGGATCAGGGATTTCAAGTCCCACTTTGGGAGTAGAGTTTACTTTACAAAAAAGTAAATGAAATGTATTACAAAATATTTAGCACATACACAAAAGCATGCTGACACCCATGTACCCACCGCTTAGCTTAAGAAATAAAGTATTACCTATATCTTTTTTCTAAAAAAGACGGAGGGATGCCTGGCTGGCTCAGCTGGAAGAGTGTGTAACTCTTGATCTCAGGGTCGTGAGTTTGAGCCCCATGTTGGGTATCGAGATTACTTGAAAATCACAAAAAATAAAATCATCAAGGGGCGCCTGGGTGGCACAGTCGGTTAAGCATCGGACTTCGGCTGGGGTCATGATCTAGTGGTTCGTGGGTTCAAGCCCTGCATTGGGCTCTGTGCTGACAGCTAGCTCAGAGCCTGGAGCCTGCTTCAGATTCTGTGTCTCCCTCTCTCTCTGACCCTCCCCTGCTCATGCTGTCTCTCTCTTTCTCTCTCTCTCTCTTTCTGAAATAAAAACATTTAAAAAATAAATAAAATGGAATGGATGAGAGAAGAGGGGGGAGGGAGGGCTCAAGGGTGGCTCCTCGATTGTTGGCTTGAGTACATGGGACACACCATCCTGGAGCTCAGGTAGGAAGACAGGTGGCAAACAAGCTTGGAAGCAGGAGGAGCCTTGTTTTGGAGTGTCAGGTTTGGGACCCCTAAGCGAAGTCAAGGGTATACTGTGAGTGACCATGGGAGAGGTCACTGCCAGGTTTAGCAGCGTGGGAGTCCTCACATCTAAAGGGGGATGCGGTCCTCAGGCCTGGATGACAGCCCAGGGAGTGATGATGGAGAAAGAAGAGTTCAAGAGAGCCCAGGGAAGGATACCCCTGGGACCTGAGTATGTGATTTTATCATGGCTTGGAGTAGAAATTCCTTAAATTTCCAAAGTCCTGCAGCTCCACCAAAAGCATTCCAAACCCAGGCAGGTAACGTGCGAACAAGTCCGCAGACTTCCAGAAATCACTTTGCAGATTTCAGAAATCGCTTCCAGAACAGGAGCAGACAAGATCCCTGATTTGTGGCTAAGAATACATAATTCTTAGATGCAAGGGGAGGGGGGGGAGGTACCAGAGCAAGAGAATTTTTTTTTTTTAAAGAGCTTCAGTCTTTAATTATATTCAGCATCATCCTAGAAGGAAAAAAAACTGTCAATCTGAGTGTTGCTCCCACCCCCCCACCGCCCCCCCACGAGAGCACCCAAACCAGATACTGGAACGAGTACACCCCGCAGAAGTGTGGGAGGTGGAATCACATTCTAAGCAGGCTGAGTTGAGACTACATACAGCATCATTTCATTATTGCGCCAACACACCTTCACGCCTCCATCCCCACCCAGGAGACCGGTGCAGCCCAGCGGGCGAAGCACACAGCAGTGGGGGCGCACACTCTAGCAATGCCTGCACACCAGGGAACACAGGCTCGGGCCCCCGGGGGGCAAGTTTCAGGTGAACAGCAAGGTCATGAACAACATTGGGGCCTCCTAGGTTAGTTCCCCTTGGAGAATGACATGAGGAGAGACCGCAGCTGTATAGGCTGACAATCCCGGATCTTTGGATTCTGCAAGATTCCTTTTTTCTTCTCTAAATTTTTAAATATGTTTTTAAGTGTATTTAATTAGAGAGAGAGAGAGAGAGAGAGAGAGAAGCCCAAGCAGGCTCCGTGGTGTCAGTGCAGAGCCTGACGCCTGGCTTGAACTCACAAACTGAGATCATGACCTGGGCCGAGATCAAGAGTCAGAGGCTTAACCAACTGAGCCACCCAGGCAACCCTTTTTGCTCTAAATTTAATCCCATGTATCATCACTTCTGGAATAATCCACAAACCCAGTCTGCTAAGTATCACCCTTCCCTTATCAGTCACCCTGAAAATCCCTTGTCTTCCTTTTTCACTTGGAACAACTTCTTTCTTCACATCTTCAGTTCCACATCCCCCTCCTCCTCACCCGCTGCTCTCCCCCCTGTCTTCCAGGAAACAAGGACTTCCTTAGGGGCCCCCCCTTGCCCCCTCTATCGAGGGTTAACCAGCCTCCCTGCTTCTGCCCTTGGCTCATGGTGTGAGCCTGTTAAAAGGGAAGTCAGGTGAGCCACTGCTCTGGTCAAAATTCTTGAGAACTTCCCAACCTAATGCAGGGTGAAAGTCGGGTGTCTTTCTGGCCTGGCCCACCCCCGTGTTTTCCCTGGGCTCCCCTTTGCCACTCATGCTCCCACTCACTGTACCCAGCCACACCACTTCTCAGCTGTTCCTTGAAAATGCCAACTGCTTCAGACCTTTGTCCTCGCCTATTTCCTCTTACAGGGACACTCTTCTCTAGACGGGGGCATGGCTGCTTCCTCATTTACTGCGGGTCTCAGTTCAGGTATCAGCTCGTCAAGGGAGTCCTTCCTGAACAATCAACCCAAAATAGCAGTCCCCAACCTCTCTCATCTCCCCTGCCGTGCTTAGTACTGTCTTCTCAGCACAGACCACCGGATGTACATGTGTTTCTTCCTTCCCCTAGAATGCCAGTTCCATGTGCACGGGAGGCATGCTCACTGCAGAGTCCTCGGAGTCTAGAATGGTGCCTCCTGCATAGCAGATGGTCAAGTATTTGTTAACTGAATGGAGAATCTACCTACTCAAAGGAGGCAGAGCATAGAAGTTGGAGATTACAAAAGCGAATCCCCTTTTTCCTGTCGCCATTAGTGTCTCCTCCCTAAGGGAGGAAAGTTTCCTGTGACATGGGATCATTTCTAATGTATTTACTGCCCCAAATAGGATCCCAGATGTAGCACAAAGGTCCTGATGAAGAGCATGAGACCCCCTTTTCTCTGTGGGTGTGTTTTTCAATTCCCACGGAAATCATTTGTCATTGATAACACCAAATAGCTCAAACAGGAGAGCATGGATTTATAGTTCAGCAGGATTAGGGTAAAGATGATTAAAGTAATCCCTCTTATTTTATCAAAAAGAGCTTTTGGGTGACCAGAGTAAAAGCCCTCGGACTGAATGTTCAGTGGCACCTGGAATTTCCTCTTGCTAAGAGATAAGCATGTCACTGGTATGTCAGACTCTCCAGTCATCCACTGAATCAAAGAATCACCATGCTGGCCTATGATGGAGAAAGCGCTCACAGAGTACCCTTGCCCATAGGGATGCCTGGTCCAGGTAGCTCCATGGTTCAGAGCTTATTCTGAATACACCAACTCACAGGAGCGGTGGAGAAATGGCCCTGCGCGTGGGAGGCACAACCAGAAGTTGCCATTTCCTGAAATGGGGGCACAGAAGGACTGCAGTGGGGGTGGAGGGAGACCAGGAGCTCACCTCTGGCCATGTGGGGTGGAGATGCTGAGCAGGCAGGGGTGAGGCTGGAAGTAGGAGGTGGTCTGTGGTAGTCATTTGGGGAGCCCGGCACAGGGGCTGAGAAATAACCATGACTAGTGCTTAGAACTAAGAAGGTTTGGTTGGGTCCTGGCGACGTGTTACTCTAAGTCACAGGTCCCAACCATACGACCAGGTTTCCAGCTCCTGGGGGAGAGAGATCCATTTAATCCAATGGCTTTTTGCTGGGTTCCCTCTGCGTACAATAAGAGAGCTAAGTGAGACCATTATTAACTACTCTATTAAAACCCTGCAGCGGGATCCCACTGCTCTTAAGCTAAAGACCAGAACTTGACCCTGGCTCACAAGGTCCTGCCTGAAAGGCTCTTTTGTGCCCACATTTACTGTGCTCCGTCTCTTTCAGTTCCTTCAACATGTCACGCACAGTCTTGTTCCCTTTGCCTGTAGAGCTCCCTTTCACTCTCAGCCACTAGCTATCTTTCCTACCTCATCTTACTGGTGACTTTCTGTGCTCAGAGTGGTGCTCCTTCTCAGGCTTACTCCAACCTCAGTAATTAAATAAGTGATCTTATAATCAGTTTAAGTCTGCCCTTCCCCGCCGGATGGCGAGGGTGACATCTCTCTCGGACACTGCTGTGTTTCTTGGTACCTGCTCAGTAAGTCGACCAGCAGTTGTGTTTATCCAGGCCAGGCTGAGCGGGACAGGCTGAGGTCGTGAATAGACACAGGTGATCAAGCAGGGCCTGGAGCCATCAGCAAAGATTGGAAGAGGGTGGATTCTGGCTGGGCCTTAAACAAAGGGAGGATTGGAAACCTGAGAAGACAGGCATTTCAGCTGGGGAGTCTGTTTAAACAGAGCTGGGAAGAGCCCTAACTTGAAATCAGGAAAATCAGGGTCTCAGCTCATCTCCTGGGTGACCTGGGGCAGGTTATTTTCCCTCTCTGGACCTTAATCTCCTGTCTGTAAAATGAGAGGCTGGCTTATCAGGGACGGCAAATAATAGCACCATGACACTATTCTCCCTTCTCATCCCCTGGCAGACATCTCTGCCTCGAGAGCTTGAATATAGCTTTAGAATTGTTTTCAACACAGTGTTCTGGGCAGTCATTACCAATCGATAGGAGATGGTAATTGAGATCAGCCCTGTTTATCAGGCCTGGCTTGGAAGACTATCTCTTGGATGAAGTCAGGCCGAGACACTGTCTGATTCAGGGAATGGGTCGCAGGAGGACTGAGCGAGGTTCTAACAGCTGCGGGTAGGGCAGGAAACCCTACTGAAGGAGAGGGCTCAGCAGCACCAGACGCCATCATCAGAAAGGACTTGAAGATGTTCTAGTCCAGTGGTGGCAAGCTGACCTTCAGGGGCCAGTAGATAACGTAAAGGAGAGGAATGTGCCAGGAGAATAAAATAGGGAATGTAAAGAGTGTGATAAAATGGGGAAAGGGACGTGTCCTGTCTCAAAGATTCTTTCTCACTCTATCTCCTCTTCTCATTCTTCTGCCTCACTATATGGATCAAGCAAGAACAATCTTCGGGATGAATTTCTTGCCCAGACAGCCAGAACGTGACCTCCGAGTCCTCAGGACTTTATTGGAGACTCTAGATCTGGGAGGTAACAGTGTCGCAAGGCCAGACCGTGGGCCAGACCTGTTGATTTCCGTTTTATTGTTTTTTACTGCAGTGTAGTCACGAGGCTTGGGACACAGGCTAAGGATGCATGAAGGAGAGACAAGAGTGGACTGATGCTTTCAACAGATGTCCATTTCATCCTAGGTGGTAATGGCGAGGGGGATGGGTGGCCTGTTTACCAGGACTGTTAGTAATCACTCATGTGACTTCTTTTATGTAGTCACTGGTTTAATCTCCCCAAATCTTCAGAAGTGTCACTTTCCACTGGGGAAATTTTCCCTCTCATGATTAAACACCCCCCCCTTCTTTCTTCAGTATTAATCACCTTCTCCTATAATTGGTACTTAAAATGTCAAAGGAGAAGGAGTTAATTAACAGGAGTATCCAGTGCAGCAAGACATGGTATGCTTCAAGGCTCTGGGACTGATTATAAAAAGCATTTCCTTAAATATTTTGAGCACTTTGGGGAATCAGAAACCTCCATTCTAATTGAAATATCCTTAACTACACCCCAGGTCCTGGCTAGTGGCCAGGGGTGCAGAGCCGAGTGAGGCGGCGTGTGGAAATACCTTCTTCCCCACCCTAGAGAGACGTCTCTCCAAACCGGGATAGGTGGCAACAGAGGTTTAGAAATAGCAGAGGTCCCGGGTCGAATCTGAGGGAGAAGAACTTTAACATGCTCTGTGTCAGGAGCTTGACCTACGGTGCTTCACAACAGTTCATAACGACGATCTCCATTTTACAGATTAGGATATTGAGGCTTAGCGTGGTGGTGAGATCCTCGAGTCGCGAGGCTACTAATTGAAAGCGCAAAGGATTCAAACTTAGGTCTGGTTCTAAGGCTTCGCTTTTTCATGGGATCCTGAAATCCTAGTCCCAGCTCGCGTCCGGACTGCTCTCCACCCCAGCCCCAAACTCCCTGCAGGAGTTTTGACAGCTAAGCCCAGAGCCGAGACCCCGGCCTGAGAGGTGGGGCAGGGAGCCGCACAAGCGCCCCGCCCCGGCTCCAGTATCAGCCAATGGTAACGCGGCACCCACAGTCTTTTGCCCAATCAGCCAGAGCTCTCCGTTCCCCCCTCCCCCGCTCCTCCGCCCCTCCCCTCCGCTTTCCCTTTGGCTCGACCGAGCTTGACAGAGCGGAAAGTCCCTTCAGCCGGCTCCGGGCCGGCAGCCATTGGAGGAAGGTCTGTCACAGGGACGCCCAATCAGCGCGTGCACAGAAACGCATATCGGGCTGCGATTGGTTAGCGCGGCGGTTGCCCCCTAGCCCCCGCTCTCTCTCTCCCCCCTGGGCGGCTCGGAGGCGGGGCAGGTGGGGGCGGGCCCAGGTAGCAGGTTCGGCTGCGCCGGGGCCGCGCGTCGGAGGTAAATATTAAGGCGGTGGGTGTGGGGCGCCGGGGCTGAACCCGGACGCGGGCTAGCAGAGCTGGGGAAGGGGCGCCGCCCCGCCGCCCGAGGTGAGTGAGAGAGCGGGCGGCTGAGCCGGCAAGCGGTTGGTGGCTGGGTCCCCTCGGGCCTCCCTCCCCGGCCTCGGGGTGCCTCCAGCCGCCACCGCGGTCGTCGGGCCCTAGGCGCCGGCCCGTTAGTTGCCCCGGCCCGGAGCGGGCCAGGCCCGCGGGGTGCCGAGTCCGCTGACGTCAGCCCGGGCTTCCCCACCCCCGGGGCTTCCCCACCCTACCCCCCGGCTTCCTGAGACGGCTCCCGAGCCGTGGGAGCGTGGTCACCGCCACCGGGACCTCCGGAGGAGAGAGGACTCGGGGTGAGAGCCGCGCAGGAAACCGGCTCCGCCTGCGGTCTCCCCCATTTACAGATGGAGAAACTGAGGCACGGGCCGCTGGCCGGCTGCCAACGGTTGCTGTTGGCTTCGGGATCCCTGGGCTGTATTATCTCCTCTCGGAGTCTAGGGGCTATCGTTGGGTCGGTTTGGGGGTGTTTGTGGTCCCTGTCCAGGAAGAGCAGTCGGGGTTCTGGCCTCGTTAATGGCGTGTTCTGCTTTTTCTTTCAGTTTCCCCCCCTTTCCAGGGTGAGGATGGTTTTGTACAACAACCTGGAGTTCTTTAGTTGAAAGGTGCGCTCTGTCGAGACAAGGTATTCTCTTCCTTCCTACTGTTTTTCTTTACAATCGTATTAGCGATCTGTAAGGGAAATCGGGAAGTCTTGACAGAGGATCGTGTTCCTGGATTTGCTTCTCGGCTGGGTCAGCTGCCCGGTTATTCATGTACTTGGCATCTTTTCTCTTCCACCCTGTGGCATTTGCATGTTTTAGGATGGTTGTCATCTTCCAGCCACCAAGCCTTGCAGTGGCTCTCAGCCCCCAGCGTCCCTGCCCCCATCCTCTCCCCCGGGCTCCCTGTACATTTGTACCCTTAGCTCAGCTAAGGAGCATTCCTTACCTTGCTTTTGAACTCGGGCTAATACAGATCTTAATAAGATTGTTCCTTTTGCAGTCATCAGCTCGCTGGAGAAAAATCCAGGCCTTGGGGGAGGTTGTTCATTCAAGTGCACCCCCTCACACCTCAAGTAGACTGAATGGCCCTGAGGATTTAGCCTGCCAATTTCCCACTGGGTAGTGGGTGGATTTGAACCAGAACAGTATTAGGGGAAAATGATTTGCCGGTAGTTCTTGTGGAAGTTCATGTACTGTGACTGTTGGGATCACCCAGAACATTCTCTCATGTTCTGCTGCAAAATGTTACAGTATGACCCTGAAGAAACCTTCCTCTGGATGGTAATTTTGGTGAAAAGCTGATAAGACCAGGGCACTGTTACACACAGGCGTTTCAGCAGCCGTGATTTCTTGTGGTCTGGCATGCCTGCACTGCGATTTTGCTTGATTTGGTGGAAGTCTTTAACAGAAGAAGAGAGAAAGGGGTCATTATCCTCGTCATCAGGCCGTTACTATTTTGTGCCTGATTTCCACACTCTGGTCTTACATTTGTCAAGGTTCTTTGATTGGTTGCACAGAGTTTATAGGCGTCAAACGTGGCGTGAAGGTCTAGGAAACCAATTTCAAATGAACTTCAAAACTTGTTTTTGCAGTCGGGAAACCTTGTTTATTTCTTAGCTTTTATAGCAGTGTATCGGGGTTAACACTGACCATGACTTCATTCACTCTGAGACTTAGTAAAGTGTACTCCCCCCCCCCACGCCCTTTTAACTTGGAAGAGGCGTTTATCACTTAAACGATGAGGATGAGGAAATGGAATTTTGGTTTTCACTTTTGCACCTGACTTAACCAAACTGTGTGTTCATTTCACATCTACGGAATGCCCATCACAGGTCAGGCGCAGAAAGACAAAGATACAGGACTTGGGGAATTCACAGTTTGGAAGTGTCATGGCCAGGTTTAACTCTAGTGTGACCGCTGGGTTCCTTGTTCATATGTCTACAGATGCCGGAGCTAGGCTTTTTTTTTTTTTTTTTTTTTTACTTTATAAGTCCTGCCTGTTTTAGGGACTGAATCCTAGTGTGCTTGGGTCACAAGTTAACACGTGAGGAAAAATAAAATAAAAATAAAGACTCTGTCTTCTGCTCATGGAGTCTCAGTTTTTCAGCCATTTAGTAGGATAACAGTAACAACTTGTTCTTTTAGTGAGAGATATCCTTTCTTAAAATGGTGATTATTATAGCTATCTAGAAGCTTTGGAAAAAGTCCCGTGTGTCCTGTTTTCTTTGGTAGTCATGCTGACTTTCCTATCCCTTCGCCATTCATAATTAGGCACAGTATTTAAGTATTGTTAAGTTTTATTCTGACTTAGAGAACCTGCTGTGGTTTTTAGAGCAAGTCAGGATATTTGAGAAGATGGGAAACTTTCTTGAATTAGATCTGTCTTTGTTTTCTTCAGTGAGGCTCTTTGAACAGTATAACCTGATAGCTTGGGAGTTAAAAAGACATTGTGTTTTCTAGACAACAATTGTCAATGGTGAGCAGCTGATGGTGTTCATTTGTACTGTATATTCTCTTTGAGAACGTGGTAATTGTGACCTTTAACCTTTTCATAGAAAATGTATTTCTTGACCATCATTTCATTCCATTGATAGGAAACTGATAAGTATTTGTGCCTTTTCAACCTTCGTCTTGATTTAATGACTTTATTTTAACACAATTAGACTCTGATTTATTCAGAATCCAGACCCTCAACAAGCTCAGGTAACCAGAAAACATTTTCAAATCTTTGTGACCCTGAACCATTGGCTCATCTGGAATGCCGTTAAAAGAAAGGCCTTCCTCTGTTCAATATGGTTTAGAGTTAAATACGTCCTTGCATTCCACCTCTTTGGTAATCTTCATTCAGTACTTAGAGTAATTATCAGGATGTTCATAATCGCTCAATTTCCCAGCCTGAAATAAGTACGATGGCATTTAGATGAATCATTTGTGATATATTTACACTCACAGTGAAGTATACGATTAGAGGCAATTTTAAACCAATTAGACCTGAAAGGTAGTAAAGAGAACACAAAGTAGGGCAGTTATCGTATCTTTAATCTGCCATATTTCTCAGTATCTCACACTGTGCTGAGTGCACGAAAATACTCAACAGACCAGCAAACCTTGATTGATAACCCATTGACGTTGTCTTTTACATCTTTCCTGTGTAGCCTTTAGTTTTTACTGCTTGGGTGCTTAAAACTATTTAACTATTAGGGTATTTTAATAGAATAGGGTGATTTAACTATTCTGCATATCCCAGTGAAAGAAGAATGTGGTCATAATATTCCTTTCTACGGTGGAGGAAAGTCTCTTTATTTACCTGTTTCTGCTGCAGTGCCAGTATACTGGGATATTAACAGTCATTAAATTTAGTATCTCGTATAGCTCTCGAGTCCATTCCCCATTCAGCTTTCTCTATCAGTGGCAACGAAGAGAATCTGTGTTTCCTATGGCTGTTCTTTAATCTAAAGTGTGCTTTCTGAAAAGAGGAAAGGCCACGGCCTTTTTATTTTTGGATAATGCCTTTTCAATATTTTATGAACTTTTGCCTTGGCTGCTCTACTTGTCTGACGTGACCCCTGCTTCTATCAGGTTTAAGCCCACTCGCACTTGTGCTAACGCAGGTTAGAGGAAAGCTCTTCTTGTGTGTTCCCTGTAATATATGGTTCTTAATAACTGTTGTTAAAGTGACTTCCACCTTTTTATAAACCAAAGTAGTTATATTAAATATTACTGCGGACTCTCTCTTAAATGACTTGCATAAAACACTTCTGTAATCAAATTCATTTAAAACGTAGTGTCCTAATGCATTACGTATAGTAATTTCGGTTTGTCTTGGTGATATTTCATTACCCACTGGTGGGTTTTATTTTAAATCATGGCATGACTCATTAAGCTGGAGAGCCGATAGGGTAGGGATGGTGGGTATATGATATTAAGATTCAAGGAGGTTCTTAATTTTAATATTTGAAGGCATAGATTTTAGGAATTTTAAAAAGTAATTTCCTTTCTAAATAGGGTTACCATACTTTCAAAAGTAATTTTGGCCAAAAATATTTAAATGCATTTATGAGGAGAGCAAAACAACACACTTTTTCAGAAGTTGCTTTTTGGCCCCCTCATCCTTCTGGGAGTAACCCAAACGATGTCTTTGCAGAAATGCCTCTGTGCTTAATTCCTAAGAGGCCGTTCAGAATTCATGGATACCTCTTTTATTGTTTATTCTTGTTTGCTTTTTTTAAGCACGCAAACGTATTTCATCCTCTGGCTCCTCAGAACTGATTAGAAGCAGTAAGTTGGAAAGCAACAAGGCCATAAAATGAGCCAAACGCACACCGTAGGAAGGAACCACAGAAAATGGCTGATTGCAAGGGAGAATCAGGGACTGTAAATCCATAAAAAGCTGACCCAAGAACTCACAAGGCCTTTTAACAAAGTGACAGACATCTTTGTATATGGAGAGTCACGTGACAACTTTATATTCATGTTGCTAACTCAGTGATGCAGAAAAGAATATCTCCGTGTTGATCTTTGAGAAGACTTTTAGTCAGAAATAACAAATACTTCATTTTGGTACTCTGAAGGACTACAGCCAAATGAAGGGTTTGGGTTTCTGTTGGAGTAGCGTTCAGGAGGGGTTCGGTTTAGAATGGTGCCAAGATAGGGGTTTCCACAGGTGTCTTATGTAAGCGGCAAATATAAATTGATTCTGTTCCTGCTGAGGTAGACAGTGCCCTCAAGTGGAATTAAGACAAACACACTGTAAAAAAAAATAAAAAGTAATAAAAAAAAGAGAGACAGAGAGAGAACCACTTTACGCCAGCTCTGCCCTTGCTTTTACTAAATGTTGTGCAGCTATTTCAAGAATAGTGGTTTAAAAGGATGCCAAACTCTTTCTCTGGTCTTGAGTAATTTACACGTCTCATTCTGGGTTGCAGAGGGACAGACTTTTAAGAAACTTTATCCTTAGAGAGCACCTCATTATCTAATGATGCATTCCTTGTATAGATCCTTGACAGGTTATTTCATTATTAAGCTAAATTATTAAACGGAAAGTTTGGTTCTTTACTTTGAGGAGTATTTATTTTTAAACTCCAAGAATAAAATAGGTAAATATGATAGTGCAATCGACTGCTGCTGTTTACTCAGAATGGAAATGGATACTTCCACCTCAAAGAAGGACGGATAAGTAACTGTACTTAGAAACCAAATAGCCACACTCATGTCACAGAGAATATGTAAAAGTTTTTTTTTCCCGTAAGATAATTGGTTAAAATAATGAATTCTTAATTTGATTGGACGAAATTGCATAGTTTTTAACCATCAGTTATGGTAGGGTTGAGAAGGCTGTTTTAATTGTGAAAGATTAGTTTTGTAAAAATTTTTAATGAGAATTTGAAACTGGAAATAGTCTTTTTTATATTTCTTTCTAGTATAACATAGTTAAAATTGTGGTATTTGTTACTCTCCTGCAGTTATATTCCTTGTTATGTAGTCCCACATTTTAATAGCTGTGAAATTGATTTTTAAAGACATCTTTACTATAATCAGATTTACAATGTCTGATATTTGAGGGGCTCCTGGGTGGCTCAGTCGGTTAAGCGTCTGACTTCGGCTCAGGTCAGGATCTCATGGTTCATGGGTTTGAGCCCTGCATCGGGTTCTGTGCTGATTGCCAGCTCAGAGCCTGTAGCCTGTTTCAGATTCTGTGTCTCCCTCTCTCTCTGACCCTCCCCTGTTCACACTGTCTCTCTCTCTCTCAGAAATAAATAAATAAAAATTTAAAAAAATCTGATATTTGAGATTATGAGAAATTAAATGATGGCTCTGATTAATATGCTTAATATTTGCCTGTCTAAGGACAAAATGTACATAGTGAAAGGAATGAAACTGAATCAGAGAGGAAATAAATGATCCATTATCAAAATAGGGAGCATAGATAAATTAATCGTGGTTAAAGTTTCAGGATATGATTCATATTTTTTTGATAAAAGATGTTCAGCCTAATAATTATGATGGGAAACTTTTCACTTAAACCACATGTACAGAAATAATAGTCTTTTTGATTTATGTCTGTTTTGCTGAAATGCAGCAGCTAACTCATTTAGGTTAGGCATGGTCTATTAAAAATGCTACATTTTAAAGCTGAGAAATGCATGTATATGTTTAAATATGTGTATAAGGTGATCTTTTACTAGAATCTGATTTTATAAATTTCATTGCCTTGGAAACAAATATTGTATTGCGTTTGAAGATACTTTATAATTGGACCTCCTTAATTAAGGACACACGATTACAGTAGCTGCAAGTAATGTATGTCTTTTAACCTCGTCAGGTACTTTTGGAAGTGTTGCATTTATGTGTGTGCTCTTAGTAATCAAATGAGATTTGACCTCATTTGATAAGTAAGTCTTTGACCTTGATTTTAGCTCATGTAGAATAAAGTGTAAAGTCTCTTTTTGCTTGTCCCCCAGGCATTTTGCTTTGCTGTCTTGTTACAGCATGGACACCAAATTGCTAAAAACGTGCTTTGGGACTGCCAGTGAATTTATCTTTTGTGGTTTTCCTACAAACTTAGTAGTTCCCTTTTTTTTGAGTTAATGTTTTGGAGTTCATATCACAATGAGTTCAGGCTTATGGAGCCAAGAAAAAGTTACTTCACCCTACTGGGAAGAGCGGATTTTTTATTTGCTTCTTCAAGAATGCAGTGTCACAGACAAACAAACACAGAAGCTCCTTAAAGTACCCAAGGGGAGTATAGGACAGTATATCCAAGATCGCTCGGTGGGGCACTCGAGGATTCCGTCTGCAAAAGGCAAGAAAAATCAGATTGGATTAAAAATCCTCGAGCAACCACATGCAGTTCTCTTTGTCGATGAAAGAGATGTTGTAGAAATAAATGAGAAATTCACAGAGTTGCTTTTGGCCATTACCAATTGTGAAGAGAGGTTCAGCCTGTTTAAAAACAGAAACAGACTAAGTAAAGGCCTCCAGATAGATGTGGGCTGCCCCGTGAAAGTACAGCTGAGATCCGGGGAAGAAAAATTTCCTGGAGTTGTGCGCTTCAGAGGACCCTTATTAGCAGAGAGGACAGTGTCGGGAATATTCTTTGGAGTAGAATTACTGGTAAGTTTGATAAACCTTTTTAGTGAGCTTGTGTGTGTGTGTGTGTGTGTGTGTGTGTGTGTGTGTGTGATTTCTGTGTATATTTCTTTGCACACATGTTTTTCTTTACCCCTTTGAATGAAATACAACACAAGTTTTCCCAGAAATCTCCCATAGTTTTTTAATATTCATAATTCTTAGGATTTACTTTCTAATGATAAATTGAGATACTGTAAAGATGATGCATTGAAAACTGGAAAACTGTTTAAAAACGACATAATGTAGTAAGAAATACACATTAGAAGTTTTAACATTGTCTATGTTAAAAGTGAATTCTACCGATTATAATTGAATTAACCACCTCACAGAATTATGAATTATCTCGTGACCATAGCATTGGTAGGTCTTGCAGTTTTTCTCAGTGTGTGCCATTCAGTTAATGAAACTTCGACACAAGGTTTTTAAAAAACAGGGCGCAGCAATTTATAGTGGCTTAGAGTTGTCCCTGATAATATATGTGAAAATTACCCGGGAGTTTATTTCTACCGAAGAGAGAACCAAGAAATTCTGTGATTCATTTCCACAACTAACATTCACTCTCAAGAACTGAAAGGTCAGTTCCATGTTTTACATTCTTGCATATAGAATTTCGTGATTCTAAAGGTTTTAAGGCAGCCGATTGTAAAACAATCAGAGCTTGAATCCCAGCTATACTATTTACCAGTTGGGTTTCCTGGTTACTTAACCAGGCTACTTCTCTGAAGTTGCTTCCTCACGTGTAAAACAGTGAAACTAGTACACAGTGTGAAGTGTTTCCGTGATACCCTGATTCAAGACTTAGCGCGGTGGCCGGCACACAGTAAGCACTCAGTAAATGGAGCTAACGTTACCGTTGTTTGAAAGTAAATTTTTCTTTTTATGACAAAAGTATTGTTCAGATTGAAACGTAGACTCTAGGGGCGCCTGGGTGGCTTAGCCGGTTAAGTGTCTGACTTTGGCTCAAGGCATGAGGTCATAGTCCCTGGGTTCGAGCCCCGCGTCGGGCTCTGTGCTGACAGCTCAGAGCCTGGAGCCTGCTTTGGATTCTGTGTCTCCCTCTCCCTCTGCCCCTCCCCCACTCGCTCTCTGTCTTTGTCTCTCAAAATAAAACAAAAGACATAGAAAAAAATTTAAAAAAATGTAGACTCTAGCCCAGCTCTCTCACAGTGGAATGATGACTTTAAATTAATTAATTAATTAATTAATTAATTATATTTCAGCATCAGATACAGCTTCTTTATTTTTTTCTTAGACATTCAAAATTCACCAGCAATTGCTCATAATTACATTTCCTGTATGTATCATTTAGAATCTTCCCAGAGATTTCCCTGAAGTCCCCGGAGTGGATCTTTTTTTTCTTATGGGTCATCTTACTGTATCTCTCTATCTACCTATCAGTCATTTTCCCTCCTCCCCCTTTCCCTTGAAAACTAGGAAGAAGGCCGTGGCCAAGGTTTCACTGACGGGATATATCAAGGGAAGCAGCTCTTCCAGTGTGATGAAGACTGTGGAGTATTTGTGGCGTTGGACAAGCTGGAGACCCTAGAGGAGGATGACCATGGCCTGGAGAGCGATTACGCAGGCCCAGGGGACACGGTGCAGATGGAGCTCCCCCCGCTGCAGATAAACTCCCGAGTTTCTTTGAAGCTCGGAGAGACGATAGAGTCCGGCACAGTTATATTCTGTGATGTCCTGCCTGGGAAGGAAAGCTTAGGATATTTTGTTGGCGTGGACATGGTAAGAAACTTTTGGAGTAGATGACCTTTGCGGGTACACCTGTTAGTGTCATAACCCATTTAGGTACAAATTAAGCACTTTGAATGTTTAAAATTAAGGTAACTTAAAAAACATCTAATTTATCTTTTGTAAGGGAATATTCACGTGGGACAGGAGTCTAGATATAGAGTTCCGTTTACTCGTTTTTCCAACTTGAATAAACTGGAATAATGTTTCAGTCTTAAGTTAGCGCTATGATAGCTGACCAGTACACAGAAAAAACCCTCCACCCAAATATGATCCATATCTTGTTTTTCTTTATTTTGAAAAGTCCCCCCCCCCCCCCCCCAGTTCTCTTCATAGCATTTTGCTAGTATAGATGGCGGTCTGGGGGTCATCCTGCCAGACTGTCTTTGCCCCACTAGCTTTCCCCCGCCTCTGTCTATCCTTTAGTTGGCTTGTACAAGTGTGCATTCCAAACCCCTCTAGTGCGCTCCTGGAAAGGAAAGTTCTGGAAAATGCAGTATTCTTCATCTCCATCTATTTCCAGTGACAGCATGTTGTACACATTGGTGCTCAGGGCAGGTGACCAGCTGGTCTGTCTCTTAACCTGGCTCCATGAACAGCACTATACTGCTTGGGGCTGCATTGGAATTTAAAATAATTAAGTGAAAAACTCTTATTTCGGAGGGCATTTTTACATATCCACAAAATGTCAAGAGAACAATAAAAAATAGATTTTCTGTGTACAGAAATGCATACAGGGGTTCAAATAGAATATTTAAGTGCTCAGGGAATGTAGGAGTGATTAGAACAAGGTAGGCTTACTCAGGGGCAGATTTCTGGGTGAAACAATGTATTATTAATGAATCTACCTATGCAGATGGGCGTTATGGAGACTAGCATTTGTTGTCTAGTAAAGTATGAGGAATCCTTTTAATTCCTTGCTCACCTATGGGCTTACTATCCCTTGATTATTCTTGGATCTCATTTTTACCAAAACAAAACCGAAAAACAAATATGCAAAAACAAACCAAACACTTGATTACCATGGCAGTTATTTCTGATATATTCTTTTTTCTTTTAGGAAAAATAGTCACAATTTGCCAATGTAAAATCTTTTAGGAGATCCTTTTCTGGAAAATATAGATTTTCATATTCACATTTTATTGAGAAGGGTTTAATACTGTATTACTTAATTTCTAGGATAATCCTATTGGCAACTGGGATGGAAGATTTGATGGGGTGCAGCTTTGTAGTTTTGCAAGTGTTGAAAGTACAATTCTCTTGCATATCAATGATATCCTCCCAGGTATGTTTTCTTTGTGTTTTTATGTATTAATGAGGCAGGGGTCCTAAGATGTATTTTGTTATGAGGATGTAAGTAGAAGCTTCAAGATGCATTTTTGGATCTTGGCTTCTTGTACTATGGACTGTTATTAAATAGAATATCCTTTCTTATCTCTAAATGAAAATAATGCTTAAAGACTTCTATTTTCAAAAGCATAGGGTTGTGGGGTGGCATTTATACATTATCATGAACTTTTCATTACCTGTTTATTCTAAGTGGGGGAAAAGCCCTTTCTGATCACTGGAAGAGTCAGAAAATGAATCAGCTGCTACCAGTTTGAATAAGAGCCTGGTTTAAACTAGAAGCCTGTAAGCAGAAGTTGGTCATGTCTTGCTGCATGCCCTTTGAGATTTCTTTCAGTTTTGAGATGCTGTAATTGATCAGGATTCATGACTCTAGAGTCAGATCACCCAACTTTACACCTTAAAACAAAATAACAACAAAAAACATTAAGCAACCTTTTACTTCACTGCAAACAAGTAGCACCTAATGGCTGCTATCAACTAATTGATAAATTCCTATTGATGGCAAAAATCAACACCACCTTTCCCCTGCTCTTAGCAGAGTCCAGTAACAGGCTAGTCGGCTGACAGTACCTTAATCATGAAACTGACAGAGGCATTCAGAGGTGGTGCTTTTAATTGGTCATTATGCAGCTATGAATAAATGTCAGAAAGCCTACATTCAGTAGCCACCAATGTATGCATCCATGAATTAGATGACTTGTACCTTACATTCTTGACAAATTTATAAGGTCTTTTTTTGTGTTTAACTTTTTAAAAAATGTTTATTTATTTTTGAGAGAGAGAGAGCTCACGTGTGCGCACACAGGCGAGTGGGGGAAGGGCAGAGAGAGAGGGAGACACAGAATCCGAAGCAGGCTCCAGGCTCTGAGCTGTCAGCACAGAGCCCGATGCGGGGCTGGAACACACCAACCGCGAGATCATGACCTGAGCTGAAGTCAGACACTTACCTGACTGAGCCACCTAGGAGCCCCACAAATTTATAAGGTCTTAGTTATTCCCCATTTTGCCAATAAAAAACTGGAGTTTAGCTAGGGCTGAGATTAGCTAGGAGCAAGTAAGTGGTAGAGCCAGAACTCAAATCCAGACCAGTCTGATTAAAAAGCAGACTCTTCAGTACCTCCTCACCCCCCACATCTTTGTGTATACACTTTGGATGTGAAGGCTTGCATAGAAAAGCAAACTTCTCAGCCTCAGATGGATACTTGGGGATATTGTTTCCATGGAAATGTATTTTGTCTCTAATTCTATAAAAGCTGAATTTTACAGAGATCATAACCAAACAAAAGGATTTTTCTGCTTCCAGTGTTTTTTCCTTCTTCCTAATTTTGATGCAGAACACTTTTGAGTTTCCCACAGGTCATTTCAGGTCCTCAGTAAATTTTTTTTTTTTTTTTAAATGAAGGGGCTATTACTAGATGATCCTTAGGATTCCTTCTAGCCTGCTCTGTTTGCCCTTCCTGTTCCTTGTTATCTTGGCAAGTAATAAATGCTTGTTTTGCTCAGTTAGGAAATGCTTTCTGTTTTAGCTTTTAGCTTTATAGCAAGAGCACATTCATTTAAATGGAGGGTATGTGATTCAAATAATGGCTTTATTTTAATTTTGTTATGTCTGACATACTTGGCTTTTCTTGAATTTTAGACTAAATCCTATATCTACCGCCTAGATTCTACAGTGTACATTTTATTGTACTTGCTGTTTCAGATCTCCATCCTTCTACCCATGCAGTGACTCATATTACTTTTGTATGCATTTCAGAGTAAGTTATAGACACAATATACTTCCTCAAGCACATAGAGTTAACTAGAGGGAAGTTTGGGTTTTTTTCCTTTTGAGGTAAAAGACATGCATGTAATGAAATACATGTTGTATCACTTGCGTTTTGACTAATGCATATACCCTTGAACTAGAAACGCTTATGAGGTTACTAAAATAACTTCTAATAAGAAAAATATTAATATATCTCAAATCAAAATAATAAAGCACAGTAAAACATCTCATTTCCATTCTTATCTCCTCCACCCTTGGTGTGTGCTCACTTCAGCCCTTGCCTCCCACGGCTAATTCTTTTTATTAGTTTCTTGTATATTTTTCTAGAATTTTTCTAGAATACAGTATCAGTACATATTTTCCCTTCCCTTTTTTTTTTTTTAATGTTTTTTTTTTAATTTATTTCTAGGAGAGAGAGAGAGAGAGAGAGAGAGACAGCGTGAGGAGGGGAGGGTCAGAGAGAGAGGGAGTCACAGACTGAAACAGGCTCCAGGCTCTGAGCTGGCAGTCAGCACAGAGCCCGATGCGGGGCTTGAACCCACGAACCGCCAGATCATGACCTAAGCGAAAGTCGGACGCTTAACCGACTAAGCCACCCAGGCGCGCCTTCCCTTCCCTTTTTAAATAAAAAACATACTATTTATACTATTCTGCACCTTGTTTTATTCTCTTAAATTTATCTCTTGGAGCTGTTTGTATAGTTTTCTATTGTATTTATTTAACCAGATTCCTACTGATATATATTTGGATTGTTTCTAACTTTTTACTATTGCAAAGTAATGGTTTGCAGATCTATAGGATAAGTTCTAAAAAGTGGGGTTGTTTGGCGAAAGGGTCCGGGCACTTTGTATTGTTCCAGATATTACTAAATTGCCTTAAGCAGTGTATATAACAGTTGATATTTTTACCAGCAGAATATGAGGGTGACATTTTTTTTTTATAGACTTTCCATGAGAGTAAGTTGTTGAATTGTCTCCCAGTCTGAGAGGTGAAAAATATTTCTGTATAGTTTTAATTTCTATTTCTCTTTTGAATGGGGTTAAGCATCTTTTCATATGATTAAGGGCAATCTGCATATTTCTTTCTGTGACTTGTGTATTCATACCTTATTTGTTTTTCTCAATTGGATTATTGGCCTTTTTTCTTACCGATTTCTTTTTTACGTGTTAGGAAAGCCAAGTCTTTTGTGATATGAGATGTAAGTGTTTCCTACTTGCCAACTCCCATTTGTAATTTGACCTTTTTTTATCCGGTTGGCCTCACTTTTAAAAATTATGGTAAGATAAACATAACAGTATTTACCATTTTAACCATGTGTCAGTGTGCAGTTCAGTGACATTACATACAGTTACTATGAAGTGAAACCATAACCACTATCTATTTCCAGACCTTTCCCATCATCTCAAACAGAAAGTCTATATGCCTTAAGAAATAATTCCCCTTTCCTCCCTTCCCTCAGCCTCTGATAACTTCTTTTCTCTACTTTCTGTCTTTATGAATTTGCCTATTCTAGATATTTCATGTAAGTGGAATCTTTTAGTATTTGGTCCTTTGTAAATGGCTTGTGTCACTTAGCGCCATGTCTTTTGACTTTGCTTTAGGTGTTTTTAGCCATGCAGACTTTTAAAATTTTTATGTAGTTGAATTATGGGTTACCCCAAGGTTATACAGGCATTTCCCCATGTTTTCTTCCATTGCTCTTGTGGTTTTATTGTATATATATATATATATATATATATATATATCTTTAATCCATTTTTATTTTATGTGATCTATAATGATACATATGGATCCAGTTAAGGCTCCCCCCCCCCCCCCCCCCCCCCCGCCAGATAGCTGTCCAGTTGTCCCAACATCTTTGATTAAAAGTTCATCTTTTTCCTGCTCCTTGGAGCTGCCACTCTTACCACACTCAATTCCCATATATGCTTTGACGTATTTCTGGACTTTCTATTCTGCCTGCTTCTGCTTCAGTCCCACACTGGTTTTAATGATTCTTTATAAGATGTTTTAATATGAGCACTTAGTCTTGCCTCATTGCTCTTCTGAATTTTCCTGCTGTTCCACATTGTCTTCTAAAAGGCTCATAGATACATTGAGTCTGTAAACCATCTAGATTTGATTTTGTGTAGGACATGAGGATCACATACCCAGTCTGATCTACCGTGCTTGCTGCTTGCTGCGTATAAATCAGTTTTCAACTTCGGTATATATGGATCTCTTCCTGGGCTCTACACTAAGACCTTTAGGCCTTCATTATCATCGCTTTACAAGAAGCCTTCTAGGTAGAAGAGGACATTTCCCCATTTGTCCTGTCTCATGAGTGTCTTAGTCTTGTTGGCCCTTGCCTCTTCATTGTAAATTTACCAGTCGGCTTCTCAAATTTGAGGAGAGTTGACATTTTTATTATATTGAAATTTCTAATACGTGAACACCGCATTATCTTTCATTTATTGAATCTCTTTTTTGTAAAGTTTTATATGTTTGTCCATTTCTTGCATGCATTCTTATACGTTATAAAGTAAAATGTGCTTTCTAACAATATGTTGGGATATTTAGAAATACAATCAACTCTTAAAAACCAGTTGTATTGAAATCTAATTCACATACTGTATAACTCCCTCCCCTTAAGCTGTTCCATTCAGGGTATTTTGGTATATTTACAGATATGTATAGTCATCACTATAGCAACTTGTAGAGCATTTTCATCAGCTCACAAAGAAACCCTGTACCTTTTAGCTATTACTCCACTATCTCTTCCTCCTCCTCAGTCCTAACCAACCACTAATCCACTCTCTCTCTGTACATTTGTCTATTCTGGACATTTCATATAAATAGAATCATTTAATATGTGGTCTTTTGTGACTGGTTCCTTCATGTAACATAATGTTTTCAAGGTTCATCCGTGGTGTAGCATGTATCCTTACTTTTTTCCTTTTTATGCCCAAAGAGTCTGCTGTTGTATGGACGTACCACGTTTTGTTTATTCATTTGTTGAAGGACACTTGAGTTCCTTCCATCTTTTGCTGTATGTAATGCTGCTATAACATTTGTGTACAAGTTTTTTTTTTTTTAAATGTTTATTCATTTTTGAGAGACAAAGTGTGAGTAGGGGAAGGGGCAGAGAGAAAGAGAGACACAGAATCTGAAGCAGACTCCACAGCCTG